GCCATGGAATTTCCACGTCTCTACATGTGAACTTTACATACTCGCACACTTTCTACTATCAGCATCTTGTAAAGCTGCCTTCCTTTGCCTTCTTCACCTCCTTCATGCCCACGTTTGTTTGCTTACGTGGATTTGCAGCGAGTGTAAGGATTCCTATAAGCGTTTATTTGTTATTTTTCTTTTCTTTAATCCCTTAGAAAATCTGTGTTGATATACATATGTTGGTAAGCAAATACATATGTATGTTTATCTATATTTGTTCATGTTCTATTGGCAGTTTATTTTTTTTTTTTTTAGATTTTTCCAAAAGTTAAATACTTGTGTCACTCTATCGAAGGGGTTTGCTGCCTTTGTCGACAGAAAGCAAGAGAAGGGAAAAGTATTTTTATCACAAAATCAGCGCAATTTCTTTTTTTTATCAAATTTCAATATCTATCACATTGAAATGGTTTTATGTTTTTGCCAATTATCGACACTTTTCTGTTTTTTTAGATTTGTGGTTTAAGAAAAGTCGTTGAACGGATATTATCGTATACACTTCTTTTCTGTGCAAGGCGTTTTTTTAATTTATCGGTAAATAAGATTCAAATTTATTTATATTCGAAAGTAGCAATGATTAAATCTAAGTTTATCGTGAAATGATATTCCAAATAATTACAAATAAGATTTGGAAATATCGATAAAAAATATTTAGAAATATCTATGAATAATTTTTTGAAATATTTACAAATCTGATTTAGAAATATTAAAATATAAATTTTGAAAATATCGATAAATAAAATTTAGAAAAATTGATAAGTAAAATTTAAAAATGGCGATAAATTAAACTTAAAAATATCGATAAATAAAATTTAGAAATTTCGATAAATAAAATTTAGTAATATCGATAAATAAAATTTAGAAATATCGATAAATAAAAATTAGAAATATCGATAAAGAAAAATTAGAAATATTGATAAATAAAAAATTAGAAATATCGATAAATAAAAATTAGAAATATCGATAAAGAAAAATTAGAAATATCGATAAATAAAAATTAGAAATATCGATAAATAAAAATTAGAAATATCGATAAATAAAAATTAGAAATATCGATAAATAAAAATTAGAAATATTCATAAATAAAAATTAGAAATATCGATAAATAAAATTTAGAAAAACTCATAAATAAAATTTTAGAAAAATTTATGAATAAATTTTAGAAATATCTATGAATAAAATTTTAAAATATCGATAAACAAAATTGAAAAATATCAATATATAATCTAGGAATATGGATGAATAAATTCTAGAAATGTCGATAAAGAAAATCTAGAAATATCGATAAACAAAATTTGTAAATATTGACAAATAAAATTTATTAAAATCGATAAATAAAGTTTAGAAATATCGATGAATAAAATTTAAAAATATCAATAAATAAAATCTAGAAATATCGATAGATAAAATTTAAAAATATCGATAAACAAAATTTAGAAATATTGGTAAAAAAGTTTAGAAACATCGATAAATTAATTTGTGAAAGATCGACAAATTTAAAATTCTCTGTCAATAAAATTTAGAAATATATATAAATATTGTACCGAAATATCGCTACACTAATATTGTAAATATCCTAACATTACGATTAGAAATATAAATAATTAAAATATAGATATATCGATAAATAAAATCAAGAAGAAGAAATCATTCCTGCTTTATGTCATTCTGAATATCAATTGAACTTGTCACAAATATTTGATGCTTTAAATATGTGAATTTTCCCCCTCACCAAAAGTGTTACAAAAAGCTCCATCAAATATTTTGAAAGTTTTCAATACGGTTGTCACTTTGTTGTCATGCAACTCCTTTTTTCAGCAGTTTAAATCCATGCACGAGCTCATGTGAAGTGTCGGCAAAACATGAAAATGCCATCAAAACAAGAGCGATCAAGAACATTGTGGCACTTAAAATGGATTTAAGCACAGTGATAAAAAAAAAACCTTCTATATGTATGCTGATGCAATAAGCCCAGTAGAAAATGACTTGTATGCAACCAGGACTTCAACCGCTTAATGCATGAAAAACAAAGATCGTTGGAAACAGCTTAACATTTTTTTGATACATATTTTGACACAAAAAATAATCAACTCAACTGTTCTTTTTTAATTAATTATTAATTATAAAATATTTCACAAGAAGCTCACCAACTCTAAACGAATCTAGATTATCTATTTAAAACCGAAATACGAGATAAACAACCAATTCATTAATTAATTAATTCCTCACAAAATTAGTTACCATATTTCGTTACTGGAAAATTAGTCAAAACTTATTATAACAATACAATTTCGGTCTCACTTCACTTGTACAAATTTTTACTTCCATTCTTACTTTGAGTTACAAATTTCCTACTGGGCTACTACAAAAACGCTTACATACGCACATTTTTAATACTTTCACACGTCACACGCTCACAATTCAATATTTTTGGAGCACCTTTCAAATCTACTATGACATATAATACCATTTTTTTTTCTAGTTTTATTTAATCTTTTCTGCGTTGAACGATAAAATTGTGTGCACTTGGCTAGGCGAATGTCGATTTGAAAATCGAATCACAAAACTCACTAGTCGTGTACAATTCTGCTCTCCATTTCAAATTTTTTACTTTTATCTTTACTTTTTATAAGCCTCTTTTTTTATTTGAGAGTACATAAAATTTATTTCAAGTTCTTGATATTTTTTTGGCCATTTCGGAGGGATTTCAAAGAAACGGAAGTGACCGTTTTGAATTGAGTAGGATCAAGCGTGAGTGGTGTGTATGTATAAACAGAGTAGAGTATGTCTTCATTGCAAGTTGATTATCCATTGGGTATCTTTAGAAGCAATAAATTGTTCTGACTGAAAACTCTATTGGTAAAGTTTTGTATATTTTAAATAATGCGCCTTGGTATTAAAACGGCTTTTTCCAAAGCCGAGCAAAGGCTGGGTACTAACTTTATATATTAACTGGTTATTATTTAACATGTTTATTGAGTTATAGTATAATTTATTGCAAATTTAAAATAATTTTAATAATTTTGTAACCATTGAAAGTGCATAAAATTTATCATAAGTCGCCTTCAAACCCAATGGATTTTTATGAGGAGCTTCAATTACACCACACGGCGCTAACTTTCTGCCGATTAAATTACACAAAAAATACCTAAAAAAGTATTAACTGAAAATTCAACAACTCAATTGAACCGTGGAATTTCCAGATCAATGGTAAAGTATTTCACATATAAAAAATAAAGGTTAATTGGTGCAAAAAAAATACTATGTTGACTGAAATATTCGATAGCAAAAAGTGTGGTGAAAACTTAACTTAACCTGCAGTCAAATTGCCTCAATATGTATTTTGACCAGCCAACGAGATCGAGTTACATACACTGAATTGAGTGAACACTAATTTACACCCACTTCATTGAAAGCGCATAGTTTACAGAATAAACCGCCAGGAAATATTGCGTATGCCAATCAAAATTCAAACTAGAAATAATATTAAATTTAATAATATAATGAAAAAATAAATAAAATAAAAAATAATTATAAGAATTACATGAAACAAATAAAAAAAAATAAAAAAACTTATAAAATTAAATTAAATTAATTAAAATAAAATAAAATAAAATAAAATAAAATAAAA